CCTGAGCTGTTTGGGCAAAGCTTCCCATGGGACTCTGATCCCTCCAGCCCCATCTGGAGCATCCCAGCCCCAGGTTTAGTGTGCCAGGAACACCCCAAACATCTCCCAGTGTCCCCCATCCCGCTTTCCTGGGAGGTATTTGAGGTAGAGGCTGCAGCAATGTGGGTTTATCCTGCAGTGCTGGGTTTATCCTGGCTGAGGATACGAGGAATTGGAAAAAGGATTCCATGAAACAACCCAGTGGTGGTGGTGGTGGTGCTGGCAGGAGCAGCCATCCCACCCTGCTCCCAAACAAGGATCCCAGTGTTTGTGTGGTCTTTTGAAGGTTTGGGATACGGGTTTGCACTTGGGAAAACTGAGGCAAGGAGGGGCAAAGAGGCCAAATTTCCAAACAGCTCCACAAGTCCCGGATCCTGCCTCCCAAAACCTCCCCTGTGGGATCCCTGCCAGCCCCTCCTGCCCCTTCAGGCTGGCACAGAGCCCTTTCCTGCTGCCAAATCCCTCTGCCTGCTTTCTTGGGCTCATTTAGCCAAGGGTTCACCCCCTTGAGTGGAAAACGAGGGCAGCGATGCCAGAACTGGGATTTCAGCAGGAGCAACCAGGAATGGGGAGGGGAGGAAACAGAAAAACCCCAAAGCAAACCCCAAATATAGGGGGTTTTATGTGTAATTTTCCTTGCAGCTCTTAGTCCCTGAGGGGATGATTCTCCCCTCCAAAAGAAACCCCTTCCTGTGCCAGGGTTTGCTCTTCCCTCTGGCCCTCCCAGTGCACACCCAGCCCCCTGTGAGCCTTTGGATTTGGGTTTGGAGTGCTGGTGGTCTGGGCTGGCACGTTGGTGGTCTGCACAGAGCCAAGGGCTTGCCTGGCTCTGGCTCCACCTCAGCCTTTCCAGCTGGGAAATGTCAGCAATGGAAGCTGGACACGCACTGGCACCATTCCTGGGATGAGCTGTCCACTGAGCCAGGGCTGGAGCGGGAGATGGAGATGGGATGGGGGAGATGGGACGGAGGAGATGGGATGGAGATGGGATGGAGGAGATGGGATGGAGGAGATGGGAAGGTGGTTAAGGACCAACCCAGAGCTGGGTGGGACACAGTGGGTTACAGAGGGTCTCTCTGGGTCCTTCAAGGGCAGTTCAGACTCAAGGGGTGGAAAATTGGGACATCCTGGGTTTACCCCATGGAAAGGCAGCACTGGCTCAGCTCAGCATGACCAGGCCAGGAGTGTCCTGATCCCTCCCCAAAGGGATGCTGGAGGCAGGAGGGGGATGCAGGGAGCATCTCAACCCTAGGGATGCAGAATTTTAGGGAGAATCCCCACCCCAGGTATGCAGCATCTCAGGGACCATCCTCACCCAGGGATGTAGAATTTTGGGGAGCATCCTTACCCAGGAATGCAGAATTTTGGGGAGCATCCTTTCTCCAGGGCTACAACATCTCAGGGAGCATCTTTTGCCCCACGGATGCAGAATTTTGGGGAATATCCTTCTTTGATGGATGCAAAATCATGCAATATGCAGGTTGTGCTCATCCCACATGGAATCTCAAGATGGATTGGTTGGAAAGGACCTTAAAGATCATCCAGTAATGATCCAGGGAAGGAGGCAAGCTCACTCCAGCATCCCATTCCAACTCTCTCTCCACTCTCTTGATGCCTTCCCCTAAATTCCCCTTTCTCCTCTTTCACCACCTCCTTCCCCTTCTCTGGGTCTGTCTCAGGGATTTCTCCAGAGCCCTTCCCTCAGTTCAGGAATTCCAGTTCCTGGTTCAGCCTCTCCAACTCCAGTTCAAATGTCTCATTTCAAGGCAATGACCCCCCAAAAGACCCTTCTTCTCTCTGGTCTCTACTCACAGCAGCAGCTCATGGTGTGTCCACCTGCTTTTCCCTGGCAAAGTCCCTCCATCCATCCTGAGTTATCCCTGGGGATGTGCTGCCTCCTGCCCCACTGCACTGCTGGATTCCTACATCCCTGGATCCCTGGATTCCCCACCCAGGCAGGGGTTTTCCTGCTGGGAAGTTTCACCCCTCCCAGCAAACCCCTTTTCTCAGCTAAATTCTATCATCACCAAGCTCATTTATTCCATGATCCTATGAAAAGGTTGGACACATTGATCCTGGTCCATCCTGGGTAATCCTATTCTCTGATTTTAAATTCCCAGGCTTTGCTATTAATTATTATTTTTAAAATGAAACGTATCAATTTTCAATATAATTCTAATTTTTATAGCTTGCAGGACACGTTGCTGCAACGGGGATGGATTTGGGAGTGCAGAGTTGTGGCTGGGATGGATTTTTCCATGGCAAAAACTCTGTGTACGTCCCCAAACTCTGCTTCCCCATCCCAAATCTTTTTGGTGGGTTTGCACAGAGGGTCTTGGCACGGGCAAAAAGAGGTGGGGTTTGTGCTTTGAGGGCACTTGGTCTGCTCAGCTGGAGAAGAGGATGGAGCAGGGTGGGCACTCACTGTCCCAGGCCACTCCCAGCTTTGGGGGCTCTCCCAGCCTCTCAAATTCAGGGATTATCTGAGCTTCCAGAACACAGGAGTGTCCCACAGCCATCCCAGGACCACTTCTCATCCCTCAGTGTCTCGGGACATCTTGTTCCCTGCCTGGCTGCGAGCTGAGTCACCACAAAGGGAGCTGTTTCAAATCTTCCCTGTCCTGGATTCATCCACTGTGTCCTCATCACCCTGATGACTTGTCCAGCCTTCTCGGTGTCCAAGGAGTCCAAGTGTCGCATTCCTGGGCGCTGTGTCCGCTCCACTCCGTGCTGATTGAAGCAGCAATCATCCATCAGTGATGTTGTCCTCTGGGAATTTCCCGTGGCACAAACCCTCCAGCCCTTCGGATCAGCGTCAGCTCCTGGACCTCTGACCTCTCCGAGATGCTTCGTAAATCAGCACTCCCAGACCAGCCCCAGTTCACCCCCACCCACTCAGGCACAACCCAGAGCTCCTCCTGGATGGATGAGGATGAGGAGACACCAGAGCCAGCACAAAAGTCCCTGGAAAAAACATCCCAGCTCCTGGGCAGGGCCAGGATGCTCCTTCTGGGTCCTTCCAGCTCCGGGTATTCCAGGATTCCACAAAACCCGAGTTTTAACAAGTTCTGGGGCACAAGGGTCTGATTTGAAGAGCCCACAGGGGGTTCCTCCTCCTCCTCCAGCCCAGCCCGTGGTGTCCAGCAGGACACAGGAATTCCAGCAGCATTTCCCGCTGCCACAGGACACGCTGGGGGCCACCAGGCCCGGCTGCTCCCGCTTCCCAAGATCCTGCTGAGGAAAATGCTCTCCCAAAAACCCGTTGGGATGGGGATTCACAGATATCCCGAACTCCCAGGGAGGAAAGACCCTTTGGAAAGCCTGGAATTGCCCCTGGAACGGCCCAAAGGAAGAGGGAGCTGATGTGGAGCTGCATTTTCAGCCCCACCTTTCATTCTCATGAGCAGCCAATAATGGGGAAAGTAGAGAATTTGTGTAATAGATATTATAAAATATAGAATTTTATACAGATATAACGTTATAAATAATATATTCTAAAACATAATTGTTATTTAAAGGATTTTTAGGAATAATATAAACAATGTAATATTGTATATTATTGTAAAAATTGTTTATAATATAAATATTACTATAGTATTGTAAGTTGTATAATATTATAAATATGTATTTTTATAATCATTTTTAGAAATATAAATACTGAAATTTTATATAGCACTATGATTTATAATCATATTTTCTTATAAATATAATAAATATTATATTGTGTAATTATATATTAAAATAATTTTGATAAATAATATATTCAAAATAATATGATATTAACATGATATATTAATATATAAATAATATGATATTAACATAATTATATTAACATATATAATAATGTTAGTTACTCAATATTATATTAATATCAATATATTATATAATTATATAGCACTATATTAATATTGAAATTAATATAATAAATATATGTTAATAAACACAATTATGTATAATTCTACAAATATTGTAATAAATATTAGAAATAATAGAAAAATGTATAATTTTATTTTAAGTAATTTTAGAATACTGTAACGAATGTAATATTATATATTATTAAAAAGGGCTCATAATAATATAAATATTGCTATAAATATTAGAAATAATATAATTTAAAATATATAATTTTATCTATAAATAATTTAAATAAATAATATCATGAATAATGTGCTATTGGATATTAATAGAAATAATTATGTATAATTATATAAATATTATTAGAAAATTTTATCTATGAGTAATTATATAATATAATATTATAACTAATGCAATATATACTATTATAAAGAATTATTTATAATAATATAAACATTACTGTAAATATTAAATATATATTATAAAAATAATATTATTAATATATAATTAATTGTAAATCTATAAATATTGTTATACATATTCTAAATTATAAACTATTATAGACTCTATAACTGTAATATAAGAATATAAATATTGTTATAAATATCATGATTTTATAAAACATATAATTTTTATAAACATATAATGTTTGGCATTTCTACATTTTCCCCTTGATTTTCCCCCTTCTGCCCCCCCAGAATTCCCAGAGGAAAAGCCCGGAATAACCACACCACCAGCGGGGATTAGGAATTATTCTTCTTTTAATTTCACAGGGTTTAAAATACGATATGAAATAAGGCTACAGTATATAAAAAACTCTCCAGCAAAATGATGTGCCAGCATCAGCAATTAAAACAAAACCAATCCCCCCCTTCTTTAACAATTCAATGCAGGAGGGATTTCTTTTTTTTTTTTTTTTTAATTATTTTTTTTTTTTTTTAATCCTTTTTAAAAAAAAAAAAAAAAAAAAAGACCAAAACAGACCCAAAACACACCACACAGACACACACACACGTCGCTACATCTCTAAGCTACCTCAGCTCAGGTTGTTTTTTTTTTTATTAAAAAAAGCACCTGCTTTTTCCTTTTTTTTTTTTTTGTTTGTTTGTTTGTTGTTAAATCTCACTTTTAAACTTCTTTTCGTTTTTTATTTCCTCCCCGCCCCCGCTTTTAAAAAATATAAATTATACGAAAATACAAGTTGGAAAATAGTCGAACAGCACAATATAACAATCTCTTTTTTTTTCCTCTTCTTCTACGTTTCTCAGCTTAAAAAAAATGTGTAAAAACAAAATACCCCCCCAAAAAAGACTTTTTTCCTTTTTTTTTTCTTTTTTCTTTTTTTTTTTTAACTGAGGCAGTTAATTCCTGGAGATATTCCATTATAACATATATGTATACATAGATTTATCATTTATTTAAACCTCTTTGGAATGTAGACAACAGCTCAGGGGTGTCCTACAGACCCTACCAGAGAGCAGAGCACGCCAAGGCATCCCAATTTTCCAATGGAATAAGCAATCAAGTCCTAAAATCTGGGAGAAAACCCCTCCAAAAAAAAACACCAAAAAACCAAAAAACAAGAAGCAGAAGATGGAGATTTTTTCCTGGATTTTTGGGGGCTTTCTGTGACCTTTTTTTTTTTTTTTGGAGGAGGAGGAGAAGTTGGTTTGGAAAAGGTGAGGAGGTGAAATCTCATTTTAACCTTTTACTTTTGGTTATTTCTCCACCTGAACCTGGAGGAGGATGTGTGGAAATGACGTGGACTTCCACTTGGACGTGCAGGAGTGTCCAAGGATCGTGGTTGTCCCACACAGAGGGGTGGAGAGAGAGGGGCAGCAGAAAAGTGCTTGTGTTTTTTATCATCACTGGAGGGGTTTTATTCCCTCTTTTATGGTCCCAAATATCGACTGTTGAGGCCCCTGAGAGCAAAGAAGGGCTCAGGCTCTGCCAGAGATGCCAAGGGACATCAACCCCGTGGAGAAGAGCAGAAGATGAGCAGGACACAGAAAATATTCCCAAAAAAGCCCCACCAAAAGCACCTGAGACGTCCCAAAACGAGCCAAACCCACCCGATTTCCAATGGGAAATTCCACCCCCATGCAGAGAAACCATCCCAGGGGTGAGTCCCATCCCTGGCAGATCTCCATCTCAGCCCCCTCACATCCATCCTTGTGGCCCAGCACGTGTGGGATACCCAAATTTCCAAGGACCTGAAGGACAGGAGGTCAGAAGGTTTGGGCTGAGCAAGTCTGGTCCAGCACAGCCCTCGCCAAAGACCAGCAGGCAAGTCAGGAGGAGGAGGAGGAAAGAAAAGGAACAAAATCAAAAGGAACACAAGACAAATCTGTGAATTTCCAGTGTATAAACAGCAAACATCTCTGGGATGGTCTCTGGAGAGGGAATGAAAAGGAAAGGAAAAGAGAAAATGATGGACCTGATGTCCCTGGGATGGGATGGGATGGGATGAGATGGGATGGATGGATGGAGAAATGATGGAGAAACTCCAGCCAGGGGCTGCTCCCAAAAACCAGAGCTGCTTCCCATGGCTCACCCTTTCCAACCTCTAAATCATCTTCCCAAAATCACTGGGAACACAGCTTGGAAACCTGGAATAATAAGCCTGGTGGGGTGGAAGAGGGATTTGGCCTGGCAGGACGATGGGGCTGTACCTGAACCTGCTGTTCCTTCTGCTGGAGGGAAATTTTATCCCAGTTTTTTTGCTTGAAAAAAGGCACTTCAGCTGCAGTGGAGCATCCAAGCAGAGCAGCAGGGATGTCCTGGGCCAGGGCACACAGGAGCTGGAGTGCCTGGCACCTTTCCAAGGGTGTAAGGGGGTTCTAAGTGACCCATGATGGGTAATCTCAGGGCACTTTGCAGCAAGACAGGAGCCTGAACCTCCCCAAAACTCCTCCAAGGGCTGGAAATCCAACCCACACGGAGTGTCCTGCTGGGATGCCCTTTGCCAGCTCCTCCCCTGTGCACTCTGTGCCCTCACATCTCCCTCCTCTCCCTTTCCAGCTGCTCAGAGGACACAGTGGAGCTCTGCCCTGGTGCCCCTCCGATGGAGGGAACTCATCCATGACATCCCAGTTTTCCTCTCCTCTCTCCAGCTCGGCCAAGCTGCTTTCCCCACCCTCCCTGTGTGCCCAGGAGATGAGCCAGGGCTTAACTTCCCAGTGGGGAACATCCCTTTCCTCCTTGGGTGCATGTTCCCCTCACCTTCCAACCATCCCCTCTTCCCTCCTTTCCATCCATCCCACCTTTTCTTCCCGTGGGCTCCGTGGGACCACCCACAGCCCCTGAGCCAGCAGTGTAACAACCTCCCTTCCCAACCCCCCTCTGCTCCCCTCGGCTGGAGCTCCCTCTTGGCCCGCTCATTGCCCCTCCACCGGCATCTTGTTTTTAAGCAGCAGCAATTTTGGGGCTGGTCTGCCCTAAAATGACCAATTTTAGGATGTGAAGGTGCTCTGGAGGGAATGGGTGAAGGGTCCAGGACCTCTGAGCATCACCTTGGGATGGGGCTCCCCCTCCAGCCCTGCCCCTGTTCAGGGGGGTTAAGTGCCTGAATATTTTGGCTCTTTACACTCAGCGTCCTGTCCTTCCAAGCTGATCCTTTGGGATCAGGCAGGCATTGCCCACCAGCACCTCTGGAAAGCCCCTGAGCCCACAGTGCCTCTGGAATGACCTCAATGCCCTAAAACACACAAGACTGACAAACAACACGAAAAGAAGGTACTTCTGGTTCAAACACCGCCTCGGGATGCAAAGGCCTGCGGGTGGGACACTCCAGTGGGCAGCCAGATCCTCGTGGATCCAGCTGTGGGGTTGGATCTGACTGTGGGAACACTCCCTGATCCTCTGATCCCCCCTCAGCCTGCCCAGAGCATCCCAGGAGGTGCTTGGCCCAGCAGGATCGAGCCCTCCCGAACAAAAACCAGTCACAGCAAAGCTTTGGAGGCCAGAGGGAGCAGCTCCCACCAGGATTGATCCCAAACCATCTCCCCCAAGCACAAGGACCTGGTGTTTGCTTCGTGTCCCTCACGTCCTGCCAGGGTTGGGCTCCCAAAGAGCCCCAAAGAGCCCATTTGCAGGGATAATTTCCCTTCTCCTGTGCCCAGGCAGGTCGACACTCACAGCACTAAAGACAAACCCCATTTCCCTCGGGGTTTTTAACTTTTTCCTGATTTTTCCCCTCAATCCACTGCTGTATTTTCCATTTATGGCCTTGAAAACATGGGAATTTTTCCCTGTTGTAAAAAAAAAAAAAAATAAATTTTCCGTAAGCACCAAAGTGATCCTTGAGCAAAGAAATGGTTTGGAAAAAGCAAAAAAAGACATTTTCCATGGAAAGCTTGAGAGGCTTTGCACAGCCAGGCAAAAAAAACACAAACCAAAAAAAAAAAAAACAAAAAACAAGGAGATATTTCAACCAGCTTTATCAGCACAGAGTGTGGGACTGGAAATGAGGGCGGCACACCCAGCCAGCATCACCAGGAGCCACTTTGGAGTTAGTTTTCCTTCACATCCAAGTTGCAACATTCCAATTCTCCAGTGGGATCTACATCAACTAAATTCTTTTTTTTATTATTTTTTTTCTCCTTTTCCTCACTCTGATAAAATTCTCTGCTGGCATAACAGAAACAAACACACACAATATTGCAATACTGAGACCATCGTAGAGCTTAAGACTATTTTAAAAAAAACCGAAAAAATACTGGCACAAAATTTAATAAAATAAAACTTTAAGAAATCAAAAAATAAAAAATAAAAAAAAAGAGTCTTGATCCCTCCTAGGAAGAAAAAAAAAAAATCTGTGTCTTGTAGAAAAGAAGACAATGGACAGAAAAGTGATGGAACAAGAACGACAGTTCTTGTGTTTTTCCTATATTGCCCCTCCCCGAAGCAGGAATATTCACCCAGTTGGTTTTTCCCCTCCCCACTCCCCCCCAAAAAAAGTGGAAAATCCTGAAATCCTCGGGAATATTGTCATTTCTTGAGCTGTCCGTTTGTGTGACCAACCACAGGGATCCATTTGATCAGGTTTTTTCTAAAGAGCAAAGGGTGGGGAGGGGGTTGTTGGTTTTTTTCTTTAAAATGAGCTACATTTTTCTGGCTTTCTTAAACTCAGAGCTTCACCCCAAAAAAGCCTGTCTTGGAGCTTGCAGGAAATAACCACAAAGCCCATCCTTCTCTGAACCAAACTTTGGCCAAAATTTGCCTCTTCCTCCACCCAACATCCTCAAAGCATCAAATCTGAGTCGCTCCTGAAAAAAAACAATGAACGGAGAGAATTTCACCCCAAAAAAACCCTGTCTTGGGAGCTTACATGAAACAGCCCCAAAGCCCATCCCACCCCGAACCAAACTTTGGCCAAAAGTTTGCCTCTTCCTCCACCCAACATCCTCAAAGCATCAAATCTGAGTCGCCCTTTAAGAAATAAAACAAAGACCACGACGAAACGAACAGCGAAAAGAACAGCAAAAAAAAAAAAAAGTGGAAAAAAAATGAACCAACATAGTCCCAAAGACTCTCCAAAAGGACAGGGGGTTCTGTTCACTCATCAGCATCGGGTTTGACGTCCAGCATGGCGTGCAGCTCCTCGGGGGTGTAGCCCAGCAGGCTCTGGAGGTCGCAGACGAAGCGATAGACGTAACGCTTGCCGGCCGTCTTGTGGATGATGTTCTTGTCGTAGTAATAGCGCAGCCCCCGGCTCAGCTTCTCGTAGTTCATCTTGGGCTTGTTTTTCCTCTTGCCCCACCTCCTGGCCACCTGAGAGAGGGGGTGAAAGGGGGAGGAAGGTCAGTCTGGCTCGGTTGGGAAGTTTGGATGTGAGGGAAGGGAGAGGGTTTTCCTCGTTGTTGTTTGACTCGTCGTGGAGATGGACACGGACGGGTCACGAGCATCAGTGCTTGGGACAACCAGCCCAGAGCACTGCAGAGGGTTCAGTCTGGAGAAGAGGAGACTGAGGGGAGACCTCCCTGCAGTTCCAGTTTCCTGGGCAGGGGCAGAGGAGGGGCAGGACTGAGCTCTGCTCTGGGGGGACCAGGGACAGCCCCCAGGGAATGGCTGGAGCTGTGTCAGGGCAGGCTCAGGGTGGATCTCAGGGAAAGGTTCTTCCCCCAGAGGGTGGTTGGCACTGAACAGGCTCCCCAGGGCAGTGGGCACAGCCCCAAGGCTGCCAGAGCTGCAGGAGGGTTTGGATGATCCTCTGGGGCACAGGGGGTGACTCTTGGGGACAGGGCTGAGGGTTGGACTGGATGGTCCTTGTGGGTCCCTTCCAACACAGTTTATTCTGGAATTCCATGAGGATACACACAATCATTTAGGTTGGAAAAGCCCTCAAAGATCAAGTCCAACCATTCCCCTAGCACAGCCAATTCCACATTAACTCATGTTCCCAAGTGCCACATCCACGTGGCTTTTAAATCCCTCCAGGGATGGTGACTTCACCACTGCCCTGGGCAGCTGTGCCAGGGCTGGACAACCCTTTCTGTGAAGAAAATGCGAAGAAATTTCCCCAATATCCAACCTAAACCTGCCCTGGAGCACCTGGAGGCCATTTCCTCTTGTCCTGTCGCTTGTACTTGGGAGAAGAGACCGACCCACACCTGACTCCAACCTCAGTCAGGGAAGGCAACAAATACCCCATCTGTTCCCCAAAATAGGTGGACAGTCCTCTCTCTCGTCTGTTTGAAGAGCTTTGCCACTGCTCCTCTCCCTGAGGTGTTTCAGCTTCTTCCCACCCACTTTGGGCCCAAATCTGCTGCTCCCAAGGTGTCACTGCTGCCCAATTTTTAACCACTTTTCAGCTGGACTCGGATTCGTTGCTTTCCCCACATACCCAAGGCCAGAAGAACGTGATTGCCCCAAGCCCACCCCCAAAGAAAGGAGGAGTGGGTTATCCACACCAATGATTCTGAGGAATTTGGGTCTTGCACTTCCTTGCAGGGAACTCTACCTCGTCTGGGTCGGAAAGTTTGAATTCCCAGCCATCGCCCGTCCAGCTGATGAAGGACTGACAGGACTTGTCAGTGAGCAGTTCCAGCAGGAATTGCCACAGTTGGATGGGTCCACTGCCTAGAGAGACAAAGGAGACATTAATGGGACATTAATACCAGGAAAAGCACAGCTCCTTCTATCCTGGAGGGGGGAAAATATCCCATGCAAATGGTGTTCACTGGAAAAAAAAAGAAAACCTCCTGCTGTCAAAACCAGCATCAGCAGCCACAGGGCAAGATCTGGGCTGAGCTGACAGCTGGGAAGTTCAATCCTGCAGGTAACAGAGCTTCCTATTTGCAGGAAGAGCTGAATATTCATGCCCTGGAATGCTTCACTTCGAGTTACATAAATAGGATTATTCTCCTGGCAGGGGAAGAGCGAGGAGTCATTGTCTTGGCACGGGAGCACCCAGCCCTCTCCATGCCAAAGAGCTGCTGGCCATGAGGTGAACTCCAGCACACTCCTGCTTCCCGACCTTCCTGAGATAAGGGGGGACCCAGGTATGACAATTATTTGGCCTCTTTCCAGGGCGTGTTGCTGCAGGAATGGGCGAGGCTGGATACCAGCGGGGGTGTCACAGACACAGCTCCCCAGCTCAGCTCTGGTGCATCTCCCCAGGTCAGATCTGAGCAAATCCATGGGAAATCTCCTTAAGGCTGCTGCTTCCCCTGATCCAGCTGGAGAGGTGATGTATCCCATGCCATAGACATTCCACCTCTCCAGACAAGCCACGGTTTCCATTTTTCCTCTGATTGCTAATTTTGCCCAACAGGAATTTGCCTCGGGGTCCCGGTGCCCCTCAGTGCTCCCCAGCCTGGTCTAGCTGGATTCATGGAGAGGTTTCACAACATTTACCTCCTCCTTGGGCTCGTGTCCCAACCCAGGGTAGAGGAGAAGCCCTGGAGCCAAAATCTCTCTGATGAGCAACTTCCAAACGTGGCCACGCCCAAAATAGTGCACTTAGCTCTGGGCAACGTGTTTTGGGAGAGATCCTGCCATGTTTGAAACCCAGGCTAGGATATATCCCTAATAATAATAATAACACCAGAGCCAGGCAATGGACAATCATGATTTATCCCAGAAGGAATTGCACAGACTGGATCAGGCCGGGATGAACCCAGTGCTGACAGCACTGAGCACGAGCTTCAAACAGGGCAAGAACGAGCCATGGGCTCAGAGAAAGGGATGGAGCCCAGCCTGTTCCCAGGAATGACAATGGAAGCTGTCAGAGCTGTGGCTGTGGGATAACCCACGGAGGGAAGAGTTTGAGATGACTCAAAAGCAGCCAAGCTGCTGCTGGGAGGAGGAAATGAGGGAGCTGGCTCCGGGACAGGGGGATTGTGTGTCACATCCAGCCCTTCCCAAATTGCTTCCCTCCTGTTATCCCCATGGAACTGCTCCCGGGTTTTGGAGGCACTGGGTTCCCTGCCAAGCCCTAGGGGTGGTTATCAGAGCCATGGGCAGGACAAAGCAGGGAGCTCCCAGCATCGTTTCTGCCTGGAAATGGGAAGGGACTCGGCGGGAAAGGCTCCAGCTCGTCGCTCCCGGCAGGAGCCGGCCAAGACATTGACTCCAGTAGGGATGGAGTTGGGTTATCCCAGCCAAAAGGAGGGAGGAAATTCAGATGATGCCTTTGCCTCTCATCCCAAAAGGAAGAGCAAAAAAGCCTGGCCTGAAATGCCACCCCATCTCGAGGCTTGGACCTGTTTACAGCAGAGAAATAAACATGGTGAAAACGTCGGGGAAAAAGGGTTTTCTGGCCACCTGAGGTCTTCCATGGGGAATGTCAGGTGAATTCCCAAAGGGATGGTTTGTCTTGGCCCATATGAATTTACACCAATTCCCTGCATAGAGCCAGGGAGCCTCCAACCCCCAGATCAGGGTAACAGAGACATGGCCAAGGAGACAAGACCAAAGCGAGACCAGCTCCATCCCCTCAAATCTGCCTCTCTCCTGCCCAACCAAAGGACAAGGATTTTTTTGTTGATTCCTCCCCCAGAATAAGATGGATGGAAGCCCATCACCAGGTTCTTGGGTAAGGAAGTGCCCTCAGAACCCCCCTGGGCCATCCTGGCTCTGCAGGAGCCTTTGGAGGCTCGAGGGTCACTGACCCCAAGCCAAGTGACCAGTGCAGTTCCTGCTTGGCTTCCAGCTGGCAGGGACATCTTTCCCTGGGGAAATCCAGGAATTCTTACCCTCTCTACAGCAAGCAAGGTAGGGTTCTTGCCAACCTCTGCCAGGTATTTTGGGATTTCCAAAGGAAGCAGTGTCATCCTTGGAACAGGGATTCCCAAGGTCTATTCCCAGCTGCCCGTGGGACACGAAAACCCCCAAATTCCTCTGTGTTGGACAAGCAATTATGTGAAGAATGTGTTTACTCCCGGCTCCAGGCATGTCCCAGCTCCTGTAAACACACACCCTCCCTGCCCCAGGGGAGGGCAGAGGGGCCCTGCAGATGTGCCAGCCGGGGCACCTTCAGATGTCAGCGAGGCACGAGGTGGCAGGAGCCAAACCCTGGCACATGCCCGAGCCTGTGTGCCCAAAACCAGGAGGGCAGGAAGGTGAACGGGGCAGGGAAGGGGTGCTGGAAATCCAGGTACCATCTGATGCAGCTGCAATTAGTGCTGGGAGGGAGATCTGCAGAAATGGGCTCCTTTCACCTACTCTGCAGACTAGCAAGGAGCAGGGAGATCCTGGGAAATCTCCTCTTTTCCCACAGGATTTCAAGATAACCCTTGGCTCATGCAGCGATGCCACTCCTGGATGTCACATCTCCAAAGCTGCCAGGCTTGTGTGTGCAGCCCAGGAGCTGGGAGCAGTGCCCATTTTCCATCCCTTCTGCTTCAAGCCTTCCTCTCATCCCCCTCCAGGGCTGGAAATCCCCCTTGGGATGCCTGGTTGGGATCACTCCGTGCTGCAAGCAGGCACAGACCATCCAAAGCTGGCACAGCTCGGTGGGTGTAATCCCCCCCAGGACCTGTTGGTTATCTCCAAAACCTCCCACCAGTGGGGGGTTTCTGCAGCTGGATTTGGATGCAGCTCCAGGCATGGAGTAGAGGGACACAAGGCAACTTTTATGCCCCATGCACTTCCAGGAGGTTCCCAAAGCAATCCCAGCCCTGGCTGGGGATTGGGGGCAGCCCCTGCTCCACAAAGGACAAGGGAGGATCAGAGGGTGGTGGGGTGACCTCCAGCACCCCTGGGGCTGCTCAGAATAGCACCCGCCAGAGGGGCCACAATGGGGGCCCTGTCTGGCCCTGGTGGCACTGAACAGGGTCCTTGAGCAGGGAGTGTCACACCACAGGAATTCTCCGGCGTCAGGGGGAAAATATTCCTCTGGAGCCGGAGGACAGGCGGCTCCTGCGGCAGGAACCGGCCCCCTGAGGGCACCCCTGGGTGTCCCCAGGGCAAAGGGTGTGGTGCCACACCATCCCTCGGTCAGGTTTGGAGGTCCCCCACCCCATTCCCAACCGCTGGGAAGTTAAACTGGTGTTGTGCTGGTGGCACCACCCGGGGAGGGCACAGCCCCAAACGAGTCATCCTCACTCTGTCTCTCCAGGCAGTTTCACACTCCGCCCCTCTCAACGGCCTCTGTTTTGTTTTCCTTCTTTCAAACAAGAAAAGAAGAGGCAAAAAAACCCCTGAAACACCTAAAAAACACCGCCACCCCCCCCCAGTGCTGCACCTCTGCTGGGGCTCTGCGGTTTGTGGTTCCAACCCAACAAAACAAGTGGTCATGGCAACGTCTCCAAAACAGCCCTCACCTCACTCGCTCGTGTGAGCGTCACCTCACTCACCCTGCCCCAGCCCCCTTCCACGGCACCACGGTCCCCAATTCCCCCAGAGTGCTGGGAGGCAGCAAAGCTGGTCCCCATGGCTTGTCAGACCCAGCCAAGCCACCTCCTGTCAGCTCCTGCCGGGATTGGTGCAGGAGTCACACGCTGGGATGTGCTGGGAGGGCAGTGGTGGAGCTCAGGTGGAGGCATCTCCAAAAGACAGGTGTGAAAAGAAGCAGGGAAGGACCCGGAAAGCACCTTCCTTGGGGGAGCAACGTGATTTTGGCCATGATTATAGTCAGGAGAAGAGTCAGGTGGGCAACTCTGAGCAAGAGCTGCTTTCCTGAGGCGGCACCTCTGCTCTGAGGAAGAAGATGTTGGGAGGACTGGTCACAGAACCTCCTAAGTTAGAAGGGATCAACTCCTGGCCCTGCACAGGACAACTCCAACAATCCCACCACGTGCCTGAAAGAATCGTCCAACCTCCCCTTGAACTCCAGAGGTGACTGGCAGAGCTCAAGAGGGTTTCATGAGCTTCACACCTCCCTGAAGGTGGCCCTGCAGGCCCTGAGCTGCTGTGCAACACCAAACAAAGCAGAGCCAGAGCCAGAGCTGCTGTTTCCCCACCACCCCTGGGCTGCAGCGGCTCGGGGGGGGCTCAGCCCCTCCACGGTTGGGCAGCCACGCGTGGGGCATGTTTTGTTTGCACGTCTGGCAGGTGGAGAAGGAGCCACTGAACCAGTCCCACCTTCAAGCTCCACACCCTGGGGGGGTGAGCAGGGCCCCAGAGGCAGAAAGCAGCAGGAGCTGCTGCTGGTCACCCCTGAGGTCACACGGGTGACCCAGAGGAGCAAGTTCACACCACCCCCTGCACTGCACGGGGTCAGAGGAGCTGCTGTGCTGGGGAAGGGACTGCAGCACAGGCCCTGTGAGGAGAGGCTGAGGGAGCTGGGGGTGCTGAGCCTGGAGAGGAGGAGGCTCAGGGGAGACCTCAGCACTCTCTGCAACTCCCTGACAGGAGGGGAGCCAGGTGGGGGTTGTTCTGTCCTCCCAGGAACCAGCAGGCAGGACAAGAGGGCTCAGTCTTCAGCTGTGCCAGGGGACATTCAGGCTGGACATTAGGAAGAAGTTCTTTACAGAGAGAGTAACCAGCCATTGGAATGGGCTGCCAGGGAGGTGGTGGAGTGTTTAAGAAGTGTTTAAACACCTCCTCCCTGGAGGTGTTTAAGAAGACACTGGATGTGGCATCAGTGCCATGGTCTGGGTGACGAGGTGGGGTTGGGTCAAAGGTTGGACTCAATGATCTCAGAGGTCTTTTCCAACCTGGTTGATTCTGTGATTCTGGCTGCTGGGGTGGCTTCCTGCCTCTCCAGATTCCCCTGTCCCAAGGGGTTGCAGGTGCCCATCCAGGCAGCACTGCCCCAGCAGAGCAGGAAGGATGCTGATGTTTCTAGGAACGCTGCTGCACAGGCTCTGGATGCCAAGGACAGAGGGATCACTGGAGCGTGGCTGCTGATGGAATTTTGGATGCTGATGACCACACACGTGGGGGAACTGGCTGGTGGGAGCTTCAGAGCAGCAGCACAGCAACAAGGGGAGGGGAAGCAGCACACAAGGCGTCCTGACAGAGACCCACTTTCTTTGGCACCGACTCGACTTTCTTGCAAAACAGCAGCTGTGTGCTTTCACTTGGGGGTCACTGATAACATCGCTCAGAAACAGAGGCTGCTCAGAGGCTTTGCACCACAGACAACTCAAGGAGTTTGGCAGCAAATTTGGGCCCCATGGACACGGCCCTGTGAATGCTGATAGCGAGGACCAGGGTGGGACCAGGCCTGGGCAGAAAGGTTTGGAGGGGAGAAGCCTCTGGGTGCTGAGGGGAGATAACATCTGTGAGAGGGGGCTGCTCCCTCCACTGCCTCTCGGATTCTTTAAGGGCAGGCTGATAGCAGGATAACATCAGCCTGAGAGACACACTCAAGGGGCATTAACTCTTTAGGTGCTGAGATTGGCTTCAAAGGCATCAGCAGCTTCCCAGCTGGGCAAGGACAGCACCACCATCAGCCTTGCAGATGTGGGACCAAGGTCTGGCTGACTCCACCTTTCCCATCCCTCTTTCCTCCCTTTCTCCCTGAGCAGAGCAGAGGTTGAGGAGGGGCCCTGCAGTGCCTGCTCAGTGAAGTGCAGCAGCAGCTCAGCCCGTGGAGCTCTGGGGCTGTGGAAAGCCCCGGCCCTCGGCTCCTGCACACCCTCCTGCACACCACGGAGCAAACAAAGCCCACAGCTCGGCTCCCAGCCCACACAGCTGCTCCACAGACCCAAAAGCAGCTCAGTGCTCCGTGGCCATCACAGAGCTGAGCCTCCTCTGGGCAGCACGAGCAGCGGAGAGGACAGAGCCCAGCAGGGTCAGTCCCACCCCGCTGCCTCCAGCACAGGCTGCTCACCCTGCCACACACCAGCAGCGCCTGGCCATGTGGCATCAGGTCCCACTCAGGTGCTGGTGGCCATGGGAGTCACCAGGAGCAGCACAGCGCGGGATCCAGGCACGGCACAGCCCCAGAGCTGAGCACCAGCCACCCACCCACACCAACACTGCTCTGCTGCTGAACGTGCAGCTCAGACTGAGCTCAGCTGAGCCAAGGGGAGCTTTGGCAGCCAACACACCCCCTGACCCATGGCTGGCCTGAATGGAACAGATGCACTCTGTCTGCTGGCAGAACCCCCAAATCTGGCTTGATGCAGAACCACAGAATCTCCTGAGCTGGGAGGGACCCACAAGGATCATCCAATCCAACCCTTGACCCTGCACAGACACCCCAACAATCCCACCCTGTCCCTGAGTGTTGTTCAAATCCTTCTGGAGCTCTGGCAGCCTTGGGGCTGTGCCCACTGCCCTGGGGAGCCTGTTCAGTGCCAACCACCCTCTGGGGGAAGAACCTTTCCCTGAGATCCACCCTGAGCCTGCCCTGACACAGCTCCAGCTGCTCCTTCTGGTGAGACTCAAGCTGGCCAAGCTTTGGCTCCAAACCCAGGTGTCCAGGGCTGGCCCTCCCTGCAGCCATGGCAACTGAACTTCACCAACTCCTGAGCAATCACATTTCTCCTTCAAAGGAAAGATAAGAAAATTGCATCAACCTCTGTGTGAGCAACCATGGCAACTTGTTAAATTAGGTCAAGATGTGGGGGCAGATAAGGTGGCTTTGAGAAGCTCTCGGAGCTGCCGGAGAACACATCAAACACCGAGAACACACCAAACACCAACGGAGCTTCCGCCAAAATGCACCTTCTCAGCCCAGCCTGCGCCTGCCGGGGCAGATACCATCAGAGATGTGCTGTGACAGGGCACTGGGCCACCTCCCTGGGCCACCACCACGAAAACAGGCCCCTGGTAACCAGAGCTGAAAAATATTGTCAGGTTCTGAACCAGCAGAAAGGCCTGGAGGTGGAGATGTGATGGCCCAGCCCTACACGGAGCCTTTGGGTGCTGGGTGGGAGGGAGAAGTGGAACGTGGGGGTCTTGTTTTGGGACCCTGGGCTGTCAGTCCCCTGCTCTGCCCGTTTGGAGGCTCCACCTCCTCCCCAGAGCCACAGCCAGAGCCCAGACACCGAGTTCCTCTGCTGGAGCTGCCAGACAGCACTTCCTCCCCCAGGGAAGCCAAAGGAGTGTAGAGCAAAGAAAAGAAAGCACCAAAAGCTCTGCCTGAATCCCCACTCCTTGCTCAGCTGGCCCAAGACACCCCCCAGCAGCTCTGGGCAGCCTGAATGGCGTTTTTGGGCAGAAATCCATCAGCACAGAGTTTGAGAGTGCCCAGTTCTCCTCCAGTTTGTAACACAACACGTCCTCACTCGCTCCCACTGCTCTCACAGCGACCCAGCTCTGCTCTGCACCCACCCTTGGCATGGAAGAACTTAAGGTGCTGACAGACCAGAGGGCTTGGAAAGGGTCAGAAGACACCTCTGGAGTCACCTGCCTGCAAAGATCAACCATCCAGAGACCATTCCCAACAGCAATAGGGATGTGTTTGCATGAAGGACTGAATATTGCTCAGCAGGATTTGGAGAGAGCAAGCAGAGCCCCAGCCCAAGGGTTTCTGAGTGATCCTGGATTTTCCTCTCCACATTTAAAGTCTCTCAAGTGGAGCAGTGCAAAAACAAATAAAAAATCAGGCCCTCCAACTTACTGATCACACAGAAGTGCCTGGGCCAAGGGATGTTCTTCCCAGCTCAAAAGGGGGTTTAAAATGAGGTGAGGGAAAATGTTACACTGCACAGAGCCTTGGAATTGTGCTCTGGCATTGCAGGAGCCTAAGTCCCCCCTTCCTGGTGGCACCAGTCCAAGGACAGCCTTTGGGGTGCTCATATTCCTTGGAAAAGCACAGGGTCCATCCAGCCTCTGACTTCAGCTCCTGCCTCTCTGCGGGGGTGGTTCTTTTCCACTCTTTTCCATGAGCTACAGCAAACGTGGAGGGAAAAATCCAGCTTGGAAAATAGAGCTCCTAGTTCTGCCAGCACCTCCGTGCCTCAGTTTCCCCAGATGTTACAATTCACCCAGTGCTTCTTCCCAGGCACTGGATACCCAAAGCACTTCCAAAGGCATTCCAGGGAGAAAATGGGGATGGAAATTGCGAGTCGTGGTCACCGGTGTCTTTTTTCAGGAACATCAGCAATTTCCACGGCACAGCAGAGGATAAGGACCTGGGCACGGTCCCTCCTACCCCTCCTGCCTCTTTCCCCCACATCCCCCAAGCCCAAATCCTTTCAGGAATGGCTGAGCACACTTATATTTGTATGGACTTGGTGGGGTCTCGTTGAGCAGGCAGGGCTGAGCTTTCTTTCTAACTAAAGCTATAGCAACAAACCACTTCCTTTTTTACACTCCTAAAATTACCTCCCCACCTCTCCTTCCTTCTGCCCCTCTCCCCACCTTCACAAAGCTCGAGATCAGCCCTGAGATGAGATGAGCTGAGCGAGCGTGGGAGGAGATTTCAGGGACAGTCACACCTCAGGATCTGCTCCGAACCTGCTGATCCTTATCTGCACAAACTCTTTCCACCAGCTGCTCCCAGCTGGGGCAGGAGAGATCGGTGTGTGCAGAGCAAGGGGAGCTGGCAGGAGCTGCCCTGAGTTCCACTCGGAGCGCGGGGAAGAGCCGTGGAAAGGATGAGCTCAGTTTTAGCTGGAAGCCCCAGCCCACCAAGCCTCTCTCCGTGGAGATGCCAGATTGCTGCAGGGCCGTCACACCACAGGAGTTTCCATGGCCTATCACCTTCTCATCTCTCCCAGAGCAGGGAATGGAAAATGTTTGGGACTGCTTTGGCACCATCCCAGCCCTGCCTCACACCAAGGTACGCAGCAAAAGCGAATGATTCCTCGTGCCAGGAGGGGAGAAGATCATTCCCATCCCACACAGCAGTGCTGGGGATGCAGCTGCTCCTGCCTGAGGAGGGAAACCACAAGTGGCCAACAGAGCGTCAGAGTGGGAATGTGGGCTCTCCACCACCCTGTGCTCCCAGGAATCCGACCAGACACCCGCTCCTTCCAGCTCCAGCCAGGTGGAAATGGAACACCAGGCCTTCCCTCAGCCAGCTCCCACATCCTGCAGGAGGTGTGGGATGCCCACACTCAGAGGAGCTGCAGCCCTGGGGGGCTGGGTGCTCTCGGGTGTGCCTGATGCACGTGGCTGACCCCAGAGACCCCCTAACCCCTCACTCACACCCCACTAAACAGCAACACAGATCCTGGGTGCTCCAGAGTCCCCCAACCCCTCCCTCACAGGCCACTGCACCCACAGACCTCGGGCACCCAGAGGCTCTGCCCCGCCGTGCTGGGGATGATCCCGCCCAGCTGCTCCACAGGGAATTCCCAGGGAATGGGCAACCCCTACCTGTGTATCCAGCCAGGGCAGCAGCAGGAATGACAGGCTTGTCCTTGTTCATGTCGGCCCGATCCCGAACATAGTCCTTGAAGGTGCCCTTGGGCTTGTGGCTGGGCAGGGTGGAGGGATAGTCCTCGGAGTCGAAGCTGTCGTAGGACGGGACGCGCTGCAGGCTCTGGAACGAGGACTGGCTGCTCCAGGACTGCGTCAGCCGGTCACAGCTGTCGTAGCTCTCGATGCTCTCGAAGGAGTCCTGGCCTCCCAGCTTACCTGCAGAGCAGGGACAGTGGGTGAGAGGCGATGGATGGCACAGGAGCTTCACCTGCCTGCTGGGTGGGTGAGTGCTACTGACCCACTGAGCCCCATCTGCAAACAGAGTGCAGCCTGGACCTGAGATCAGCCTGGACCTGGACCTGAGATCAGCCTGGACCTGGACCTGGACCCCTCATTCAGAGCCCTGGAGAACTTCAGAGACAGACAGAGGCAAACCCCCCAAATCCTGCCTCGCTGACTGGGAATGGTCCTTCCTCTTTCAAAAAGGCAGCATCAGAGAAATCATTCACTTTGCACATTCAAGGCTGAGTTCAAGTGCCTGAACATGGGCCTCTTTATTCAGAGGGTGGGCAGGCCCTGGCACAGGTTGCCCAGAGAAGCTGTGGCTGCCCCTGGATCCCTGGAAGTGTCCAAGGCCAGGTTGGATGAAGCTTGGAGCAACCTGGGCTGGTGGGAGGTGTCCCTGCCCAAGGCAGGGGGTTGACAAAAGCTTTAAGGTCCCTTCTAACCTATTCTGTTACTTTATGATTTCTGTGATTCTCTTCCTGCTGAAGGACATGGGGGTCCCCAATAAATCCCCTGTTCCCTCTGCCAGCCCCATACAAACACTGCTCAGGCCCATCCAGGGGCACTGCATCAGCTCCTTTATTCTGCTGTTTCCTCCAAAACTCCACAGCAGCCCTTTCTTGCCATATGTTACAAGCAGCTTCCACCCCCAAATCCCCAGGGAGCAGCAGATTTGATGGAGGAGGAGAGCAAAGGGCTGAGAGCTCAAACAGCTATTTTCCCAGTTCTGGTAAGGTGAGCACAGCTGGATTGTATCAAAGCTGCTCTCTGGGGTATTTTTAGTAAAAACCAGAACATGAGAGGCCAGATCCTCAGCAGTGCTGATTTACACCCACTGAAGACAGCAATACACCCTCTGTACTTAAAACAGAGCTAAAAAAGGAGCCAAGGAACAAACTGAAGCTGCTCCTCTGATCTCCCTTACGCCGCTGATTGCTCAACATCTTTACTGACAAACTGCGAGCGTAACAGGATCATTCAAGTTCACTAATTTCCCAAACCAAGCTAAAAACAGCTGCTGGGGTTGTGCAAGAGCTCCTGGAGAAATTTCCATTGGCAGAGCTACCCACAGCCTGGGCCTGGATAGAGAATCCCAGGGGAAGGGGAATGTGGAAGGGTGCTGGCACACTCTCCTAAATATTTGTTGTGTTGTAGTCTGAAGAGCACTTGCTGTGGAAAGACTCAGCTAATGAAGGCTCTGCCCTGATTGCTGGCCTGGAATCCTTGGATGTTTGGATCCATCGGTATATCCATGTTTCAAACTCACTTTTGTCTTTGTTCCTTCTATTTTTTATTTTTTTTTTTTTGAGGATTCCACAGGATACACTTCAATGCTTGCCTGAATCCTGCTAAAGGAGAACAAGACTGCTGTGTGTGCACATTAATTGGCACAACCAACTCCCTGAGCAGTCCTGCAGCACAAGCTCACTTAGAAAAGGACTTAAAAGAACCTGACAGGGATGTGGTTTGTGTCAAGCCATTGAAAATTCACCTCTATTTGGCCTAACTGAAAAAACCATGCCTTGCACTAGCCCAGGAGAAGCTTAAAAGGGTTTGACAGCTCCACTTTCCAGCCAGGAGCCCTCTCTGATAAGGCAGAGTGAAACAACTCCCATGGGAGCACAGAATTCACTCCCAAAGCCCCCACAAAAGACAGTTGACTGGAAACCCCTCTCCCTGAGTGATGCTCAAGGGCCTGGTTTTGTGAGAGACTCAACTTTAAAGATAATGGAAGCTAAAGACGTCCATAAATATAAATTAACTGGGCTCTGCTTTATATTAAAGCTTCTTTCCACCCTTCTGGGAGGATTCCTGCCACCCAGAGCTCTTTCCAGGGCTGAAATGTGTGTTAGTGGGAGCACAGCCTGTTGGGATCATTATATCCCAGTCTTTGCTAACAGCAGCATTAAGGGCTCTTTCTCCCCTCCCCTGAAACCATTTTTAGGTTTACCACTGAGGTACCATTGCAAAAGCCTTCCTGGATCATTGCATTTCGAGGAGGATTATGAAATCACCTGTGTCAAAGAGAAGGTCAAGAAAAGGGAAAGGCACTGATGAAATTCTGGCAGAAAAGCAACCACAGAAAGAGGAGTTTACCCAAAATTATAACCCTGCCGCCCTCCTGGCTCATCCAGGTCGCCTCTGTCAGAAGGAGAGGCAACAATACAAATAATAACCCCCCTGTCAGACTGGAAGGAGAATGAGAAGGCTGAAATGAGCTGCTCTGAGCCAGGATGTGCAGGGCAGAGCTGCAAAGGGGAGGCAGCACCTCCTCAGCTCCTCAGAAAGGTATTTGGGCTCAGATCCTCCCAAGTGCTTGGGTGTTTAAATCCCACCATCTCAAACAGGAGTCATGTACCTCTAACTCTTTGGAGATGTCAGGCTGTAGCAGGAGGATTCAGGGGATGACAGCCCCTGACAATCTGCACCTCCTGACAAAGCCCAGGGCTTGGGTTCAGCAGAATATCCATGGAGATAATGGATACACACTTTGGATCATCGAGTGTAAGACTCTTCAGAGCCCTGGACAGTAAGTCCTGATGAGAACTTGTGAAGAATTTGTGGGGTTTTGCCTGGTCTTCTAAAAAACAGGATTTATACAACCTCCCAGCAGTTTGTCCCCCCCAATAACCTCAAAGCTGATTGCCATTTCACCCGAGTCTGACATCAAAGCCCAGCACCAGAAACGCCACATTTTTGCAGACGCTGTAAAAACAGGCAGTGCAGGAGAAGAAAGAAAGACCTTTTTGGAGTTCTCCCTGGAGAGAAAGGCAGGGAGGGCTCAAAGCCACCAGAGAATCCAACTCCAGAGGACACACATGTCGGGAAACGGCCTCCTGGTGACACCTCCCACGGGAGGGAAGGCAGCACCCACTCTGTCCTAGGCAGGACAGGAAGAACCCAAGCAAACCCTGGCTTTAAACCCAGCTTTACCTCTGCTGGCACGTCCCATGCACATGTTGTCAGGTGTCACCACCTCCTGCTTGATGGTGAAATAGTCTGTCTGCAGGGGGTCCGTGGGCAGCGGGTCCCGCAGGATGACCGAGGGGTAGTCGCTCTCGTACTTGAGGGACAGCAGCTCCTCGGAGCTGATGGGGTGCAGGGTCTGGTAGGATTCTGTGATGAAGCTGGGCTCGGAGAACTCGGAGGGAGGCACACACTGGGCATGTTCAATGCCATAACCTGGTGGCAGAACAGGAATGTCAAAAAAAAAAAGAATCCCAAAAGCTCAAAGAAACCTGAGCACCAACTCGGCGCCTCTCCAGCCTCCCCATCCACAGCGAGACCTGCAGTGCCTTGGGATATAAAACACCTGCCACAACTGGGAACTAGTTTTGGGCAGGGTTTCTAAAAGCTACAGAGGTGGTTTCTGAAAGCCTTTTGGCTGAGGTTTCTAAAAGTTTATCCTGTCCTATAAACGCAGTCATTTAACAAAATTTCAAGGCTTCCTCAGCCATCACCAGTGTGCTTCCCCTGAGGAGAGCTGCCAGAGGGAAAGAGCTGGAAAATCACGAAGAATGGAGTCTCACAAAGGAGTTATAGGGCAAAACTGTTTCACTGTAATAGGTGAACCATTTCCACAGTCACCTCTCCTCACTGGCCAGAGCCTGGAATCCTGATTCTCTGAATCATGGAATCACAGAATCATCGAATCCCCAGAATGGTTTGGGTTGGAAGGGACCTTAAAGCTCATCTCATCCCACCCCCTGCCATGGGCAGGGACACCTTCCACCAGCCCAGGTTGCTCTAAGCCCTCTCTAACCTGGCCTTGGACACTTCCAGGGATCCAGGGGCAGCCACAGCTTCTCTGGGCAACCTGTGCCAGGGCCTGCCCACCCTCCCAGGGAAGGATTTCTCCCTAACACCTCATCTAAATCTCTCCTCTTCAGGTCAGCTGGGGTTTTTAGCTGGTTCATGAAATACCTCCCAGCTGTCAAATGTGCTTACAGAGCATCTCAAAACCAATGCCAATGGGAAGTGCAGGAGTGCAGATTGAGGACTCACCCCTTTCCTTGCTAGGCTCCTTCCTAGCAATCCAGAATCAAGCCTTCTTCCCCCATTCCCTTCCTTTTTAAACATGTTTTTAACAATTCCCAGTACTCAGGAGTGTTGAGGTCTCTTCCAAGGTCTGCTGAGCTACAGCTTCGAACAAATACCCCTTGCAAAATCAGGCACCAAAAATACAGATGGCTCCTAAGTAAACCCTAAACCCAACACTGGATCTGTACAAGTCCTCATGTGATGCGGACAAATCTCTCCCAGGAGGCACTTCCATGCCTGGAAGCACTGGGATGACACTGATAATTGAGACTTACTAACGAAGTAGTCGGAGGTGTAGCGGGATTCGGGATATGTCGTGTTGGCTCCGTTCGCTGGGTATGGTTTTACCTCTTCTGCAAAGAGGAAAGGAAAGAAATGTCACACATTTGTGCTTTGCAAGACTTGCTGTCACACAGAGAGGTCAGAACTTCCTAAAATGCTCCTCTCTGGGTTAAACTGGGACGTTGAAAGGAACAGAAATTAATTAAGAGCTGAAAGCTCGCAGAGACTCGAGGCACTTTGGGAATTCTTGCCGCAGGTATGGCCAGATTTAAACCAAACCAGCCCAACCCAAGGAGCAACAGCTTTCTCAATCAGAGGCTCCAGGTGGTTCTGAAACACCAGTTGCATCATTTCCTTGCTTGCCTTGGTCTTTGTTGTCTTCCATCCTCCTGAGAGTTGCTGATCACGCTTCCATGTGCGAGCTCCCGAAAAAACTCACCTTACAAGGGCAGTTGTTTCCCTGAAAACCCCTATTTTTAGACCAGCAGTAGGTGTGTGCAAGGGAGTGGGTAACACATACCAAACCCAGCTCCTCTAACCCCTAATTAATGCTGATTCCCAGCCTGTGCAGCACCTGATGCAGGGAGAACATTCCATGTCCAAAGAACGCTTTGTCCCACCGTCCCTGACCCAATTCCTGGCTCAGACTCCACTGTGTGTATGTGGGCAGGATGCCAAATTTTAGCCTCTCTATAGGCATAACTCACTGGGAAAGAGCACAGAGCACATCAAAGCACAGATTCCCTGCTGCCTGTTGCTTTTTCCAAGCCCTTTGGTGCTCCTGGGCTTGGCGCTGGATTCGCTTTCCCACACAAAAACTGCTCCTCCCCTCACCAGTTTTTCCACAAACACCTTTCTCATTCCAACGTGGCATTGTGGGCACAGATCCTGGCATGGGAGATTTTCTTTTCTTTGCAGAGGGCAACCAAAACAACCCCCCGCCCCAGGCAGCTCTGGGTTGTGTTTGTTTCTGCTGAGGCTCAAGAGGAGCCAAGCGCAGATAACGCACGTTCGCTCGCAAGGAGCTTAATTTTGGCCCTCTCTCCTGGGGATTGCAGGGTGGAAAATATTCCCTGACAAAAGGAGGGTTTGTGCAAACACACAGAACTAATGAGAAAAGCTCTTTTGCTCTCCCTGTGGTGGCTGCCAAGGCACAGGGTGGGTGACCACAGAGCAGGGGAGCAACCTTGGGCTGCGCTCGCACTCGCTGCTGGCTGCTGGTAACTGAGGGGGTTATTTTAGGAAGAAATTTGGGAAAATACGCCTGAAAATACCCGAATCCAAGCAGGGAAAAGTGGCCCATCTGCTACCTTTTTATAACCCTGAGCAGTCTGTGGTACATGAGTCACTCAGAGCTCACAGGGGAAGGTCAGCCCAGGGGACAGCGAGGTCACAGCACGTCCCAGCACGACCCCGGGACAGGGACAGGTAAAGCCAAACATTTCGGGGTTAAGCACCACCCCCAGCACCAACAACCCCAAAGGGATGATGGTGGGTGAATGGGGAGGATGGAGAGACAAGTTTGGCCTTGAGTCTCTCCACATGTCCCATCCCCAGGTGCAAAGTGCAGACCCCGTTCGTGCAGCACCAGCACAGCCCAGGCCTTGGCAGGGGTTGGGATGTGCTACCACTGACACCAGCCCTGTGAGCTGCAGGGAACAGAAACCAGGCCGTGGAGTTATTTCTTAGAAGTTCTTGGTTACACCCCAAACACTTCACAGATACTGCCCTGCTGGGAAATGAGTTCAGAACCCCCCCGAGGGGAGAGGGCTCAGCTTGTGCAAGAGTGACAAAGTCCCCAGAAAACACAGAAGGGAGATTTCTTGGTTCCCAGGGCTACACCAACAGTGTGGAGACACTCAGAAATTCAGCTTTATCCTTCTTCTTCCTTTTGGAAAGAGAGTTACAACAGGAGCAAAGATTTCCAGTTGCTTTGTAAAAGCTCCTGGCTGTCCCAGACCTTTGGTATCGTCAAGGCTGCAGTGTCTGAACACCCTTGTGTGTGTCAATGCTACATGAAAACATGATTCCCACTCTCCTGTGAAATTACAGCTCCAAGTTCATCTCCACGTGTGGGGAATCCACAGGAAGGAGCTGCACACCCAGCTCTGATGCCCCAGCCAGTACCTGCAGCACATCCCACCCCTCTCCAGTGAGTTTTAGCCCCAAAAATCACAGAATTACAGAATCACTGAGCAGTTTGGGTTAAAATGAGCTTAAAGATCATCTTGTTCCATCCTTCTGTCCCAGCCAGGGACACCAGTGAAGGAAGGCTGTGGGAAGGTACAAGGAATGGCTCATAGCAAGGACAAACGGGGCTGACCACAAGGTTTTGCTTTGTTTGGTTAAAGTACCTGCTGTTGATATAAGCACTCAATAAAAAACATGCAAAAGAAGAAGAACAGCCCAGATAAAGAGTGAAAAGAGCAGGAAAACAGCCTGTCCTACCCAGAGGCTGTGTTTACCTTCTGAAAACCACAGGTAGCAGTAAAATTAGTAATTGGCAATTAACAGCCATTTGTCAATGGTTTCCTGGAAGGAATAACTGTGCTCCCCCTCCCCTTCCTGCCACCAGGGTCAGTAGGACAGCACAAGGGATGTTCCAGGAAAGCAAACAGCTCTGCACAAAAAGGAGCTGGAATAGGAGCCCAGGGGCTGCTGCTCCTGCTCATGGCCCAGGTTTAAGGTGTTCAGCTCTTCTCCTGCTCTTTATAAACAATCCCAGCATTTCCTGGGCATCCAGACCATGAAAATCAACAGCCAAAATCAACATGTGTGTCACCAGCCAATGGCAATTGGATGCTGTCCCACAGGGACTGGCAGAGATGGCTTCTCCTCCTCAAAAAATGCCATTTTCGGGATATGAAACGCCCGTTTTGGGCCATGAAACACACTTTTGGGACACGAAACAAAGCAAAGCAGCTTCCAATCACCGCTAGGAAATGAGGGTGGGACTTTGGTGTATGCCCAGATCTCCTGGAGGAAGCACTAAAATTCACAACAGGAGCTGAACAAGCCAAGGAAAAATGCTCTGGAAAATCCCACCGTGGGTTCCAGGCAGGCAGAGCGTCCCTGCCCACGGCGGGTTCCTGCCAAGCAGCCGGCACAAACACTCTGCCCCTTTCAAGCCCTGCCAGGGTTTGCTTTGCCCACTACCAGTGGGGATGCCCATTTGGGAATCCTGCTGGAAAGCTGGGCTGTGTAAGAGGTTTTTCCTGGCATTGGAGCCCCAGGTGAACAGCTCAGTGCTCTTTGGAAAGCCCCAAAATCAGGCTGGCCAGGACAGCGTCACTCATTCCCCACGGAGACTCCCGGACTCACCTTTCTGCAGGATCTCCAGGTGCTCCCAGAGGATGTCTCCCACAAAGTCAGGGGCCAGCTCCAGGAAGCACTCCTTGCCCAGGGCACAGAGGGCAGCTCCATTCATGCAGAACTTCTGGAAATCCACCTCCTTGAGGCTGAACTCGTTGACCGCCCACATCACCCAGTCCCGCACGTGCGTCTCCGTCCACTGCTGGGGATCTGCAGGAGGGACCCCGCACTGAGCAACAACCAGCAGCTTTCCCAGGAAAACAGGGCACAAACAGGGCTACAGCTGCACTCCCATGGAGAGTGGCAGCCCACTGGCACGGGGGTGGTGAGGGAACACCATGCCCAGCTTGGATCAGCCCCGCTGTACACATAGAACTAACTGGGTTGGAAGAGACCTCCGAGATCATCAAGTCCAGCCCTTTCAGACAATGAGTTTTGGGTTTGTTTGGGACTCCCAATAATCCAATCAGCTCTCTGCCCCACTTCTCCCACCCTTTTCTCCAATTTTTTTGGTTTCTGTCCCTGTCACCAGTTTGACTAGCTGTACCTCCCTGCTGCTTCTCCCTATAGCGGACATGACTTTATCCACGTTTTTCCAGCTGAAGCTGCCAAGAAACAAGGCAATACCACCTGAAGAGACCCAACAAAGGGATGGCAGCCTTGGAGAACTCATGGAGAACTCCAGGCAGTCTGGCTGAAGGGCACAAGCCCTGTGGATACAACGGCTGCTCCCTGGGAAAAGCACGTCTTACCTTTGGGAATTCCCAGCCGCTGCTGCTCCTTGGCAAAGCCACTGAACGTGGCTTTCAGTGCTTGGGACATCATTTCTTTGCTGCTGGGAGTTAATAAAGGCACATCTGCACATTCCATGTCTGGAAAAAAAAAAGCAGGAGAGAAAGATGGCCATGAGGACACAGGAGTGGGAAAGGCGACAGGAGTCGAGCTGGCCAGGTGACATGGGGCAGGTGGAATGTGCTACTGGAACTGGACAATGGGATCAAAGACCTTCCCAGACATCAGCCTGCTGGGCTTCAGCATCCCACGAGTGTCTGGAGCCTGGGACAAAGCTGAGCAGCTCCAGATACCAAGGAAGGCAAAGAATCCCATGCCAGGGTGAACAAGAAAGGAGGGTGAAAAAGCATCCCTGAATTACCAGTCCACTGTCCCGGTCCAGAGACAAACAAGGGAAAAATGAAAGAAACTTAGAAAATTCTTTATTCCAGAAAATTCTTCCCTGGGAGGATGAGGAGTCCCTGGCACAGGCTGTGGCACAGAGAAGCTGTGGCTGCCCCATCCCTGGAAGTGTCCAAGGCCAGGTTGGATGGGGCTTGGAGCAACCTGGGCTGGTGGAAGGTGTCCCTGCCCACGGCAGGGGGTGGGACTGGATGAGCTTTAACGTCCCTCCCAACCCAAACCATCCTGGGAGATTCCATGATTCCATGAAAAAGGGAGCTGAGGCAGGATGGGGAACCATCAGAAAACCCATTTGAGGAGGAAGGGAAAACAAAAGCTGGAAAATCCCACGTTAAGCCAGAGTTACATCACGCATGGAGTGACGGATCCAGGCGAGTCATGGAGGACGTGCAGCCATCCCAGGGGACAGAGGGGCCAAGCCAAGCCAGGCCTGGAGTGAGCCCTGATGAGAAGCAAACCTCATCCTTTGCTTTTTTTTTTTTTTTATGCCTTTTCCTGATTTATTTGGAAGGAGGTGGACATTTGTAGCCCAAGGGTTTCACAGACAAAAGCACCCGTTTGAGGGAAAGAAATCGGAATAAAGGTTTGGCTCTTTGTCCTACATTGTAAGTATTCCTGAAAAACATCTTTGTTGGAGAAGGAAAGCCTCCCACAGCCACCATCCCAAAAACTGAGCTTTATCAGCCTCATATGGAAATCTTCCACCTGAGCTTGGTCTAGCACTGTAGCCTAGTGGAAATTTTTCCATGAAAACTCAGTGGAAAAACGACAACATGGGCAAACTCTTGGGTGTTTTCATGGCTATCTGGGCATGGACACGAAAAATGAAAGAATTCTCTGTTTTATGGGAATGCCAGTGTGAATTTCCATGGCTCTAAGTTCGTTTCAGCTCTGATTTAACAAGCAAAATGCTGGTGAGTGCTTGTTTTAGGCAGTGTTGAGTAAATCCCTGATAAAATATGGATTGAAGGATGGACACAGTGCAGCAGAGCTGCTTCCCAGTCTGACCCAGTCTGGGGATCCAGCTCCACTCACATCCTCCACAGCCCAACTCCTGGGCATCACTTAAAGGCCAAACAACACAATGTTGGGGTTTTTTTCCAGGTGGGAATCTCAGGGTTGGGTCAATAGGATTACAGGGCACTGGTGGAATCACCACCCCTGGAACTGCTCAAAAAACACGTGGATGTGGCACTTTGGGGCTGTGGTTTGGTGGTGGGATGGCAGTGCAGGGGGAATGGTTGGACTGGATGATCTGGGAGGGCTTTTCCAACACAAATGACTCTGGGATTCCATGGATCAGCTCTGTAACACAGGGTGAGGGTGACCACGACCAGAGCAACCCCAAATCATCCTCTGGATGCAACGAATGCAATTCCACTGCCAAGCCAAACAGAGCAACTTCTCTGCCTCCACTTCTGCCCCTTCCACCTCTCAGCCCCCATCAAAATCCAGGCTAAAATCAGCCCTTCTATTTAATCCCCTCCAACCTCAGTCACCAAGGCACTCAAGGAATGATTTGCAGGCTCTCTGCTCAGGCAGGACCAGTAAAATTCCTGACCCCAAGTCTCTGGGGACCCAGTTCCTCCCCACATAAATCCAGGATTGCTGCCACAGTGGCAGCATCAGGACCTTCGAAAGCAAATCCCACATTCAAGGGCTATTTGGCAAATTACACTTCATTATTTACTGGATTTGGCTGGAAGAGGGCACGGAAAAATGAGCAGCCACCCTTGTTATCTCTGTTCCCCATCTGCTGCCTCCAGATAACACTGGGAGAAAGTGGTTCAGTGCCCCTTTCCCTTCATCCTCATGTTACATTTTAATGCTTTGCTTTCTGTGGTTTCAGGGACCACCCAGGAATCCCTCCCCTCCTTGCCTGGTTAAACAGCAGCTCCTGCTCCTGCCTGCCATGGGAAGATGAGTCAAGAGCCGGGCTGAGAAAACGTTTCTGACCCCAACTTTTACACTGAATCACTCGTGAAAACCGGAGTGGAGGTGGCACCGAGAGCAGGGTGAGGGGGGTGACAAAACGTGGGTTTATCTCTGCAAACAGCAAACACCCATCCCTGATCCCCCCTGTTTCCTCCTGCAGGGTCCGTGGGGTTGGGTTTGTACACGGCCAGGATCAATTTTGCAGTAGCGGGGGGATGAGGTTTCGGTTTAGGAAGGTGAACGCTGAGCTCTGCACAAACAACATGTCAAAACAGGGGAGACTTGAAAGTGATTCCCAGGGAGAGGTCATGGAGAAGCAAACAGTCTGTTTTCAAATTAAAAAAAACCACCATGCCAGAGGAGGGTTTCTATTTAAACACCAAAATCAGCCCAAATGTGCATTTCAAGGCTTCCCCTTGAAAACACGCTGTACTCGGCAGCTTTAGGACTGAAACATCATCTATTTTTTCCTGTAAAATCGCAGCTACTTGTTCACATTTCTGCAGAGCACAAAGCAGCCCCGAAGCCCTGAGCCTGCAAACGCTCCCAGAAGCCTTGGTTTGGTCAGCAGGGTCCCACAGCTCTAGAAAACTCACGTGGGTAAAACCAAACGTGGGTGAAAAGCTCTGCAGACGTGTCTGTGGGCAAGGCTTGGCTTTGTGACCCCAGAAACACACGGGGGAGGGACAGTTTTTAATCTAAATTCTGTCTCTGCTGGTTTGGAGATACTGAGTTGACTTAAATATCATTTTCTGTGTTAAACCCCAAGTGTCTGAGGAGCACGATGAGCTTCAGCCAGCTCTGCCCTTTGCATGGCCAGGAGTTGCACTGGATGATCCCTGGGGGTCCATTCCAAACAATTATAATTCCATGAGCTTTGCTGGGTGTGCAGGGGAGTTCTTTCCTGTGGAGGAGAGTCCAGCCCTGGTGATGTTCTCCAGCTCTTCACCTCCAGTCTGGGGTTCCAAAAGCCCAGCACAGTTTCAGGAACAAAAGCAACCAGCCAGGCTGAGCTCCCCTGGTTTCAGCTTTCACTGCCACCTGAAACCCCTTTCCAAGATTTTGATCAAATCTCACCCAAACAAAACATGTCCCTTCGTGCTCCTCCTGCTGCCCTCACAGCACAGCCAGAGAGCCAGCCCTGAGCCCAGCTGCTCCACTCAGCTCAGCCTGGAGATTGCAGGGCTTTAATGGCCAAAGCAGGCCCAGCAGCAGGGCCCAGGTGAACTGGCTCTGCTGGCTGGTTTTGTGGGGCCCATCAAAGCCTCCCTGACACGGCTGCCACCTGCACTTGGCTGCCTGGATGCCTCATCCTCCGACGGGGAACTGCCTTTGATATTCCTCCTGGGACACCGGGCAGGGAGTGATGGGTTAGTTGGTTTAAGTACTACCAGGAGTTGCAGTCGCCCTGGAAAATTGCATTACCAGCAGCTCCAGCATCTGTGGAGCAGAGAGAAGTGATTTGCCTTCACACAAGGGAGGCAGAGAGGGACAACTTCGCATCTGGCTGCAGCTTTCCAAGGCAAAGAGGGGGCTCGGTGGCTTCACCAAACCAGACCCGTCCAGCTCCCTGATACCCTTGGGAATGGGACTTCAGGCAGACAAGAGGATAATGACAGCCCTGACATCCCCTCTGCAGCCCCAGATGGGTTCTGTGCTGAGGGGGACCTGCCCAAACCCTTCACCCCACGTGGGACAGGGAGCCTGAGAGAAAACCCGCAGAGGAGAGGCCGAGATCACCGAGTTCATCCCCCAGCCAAATTCCCACTCTGCTCTCACCAGGCTCCACTTGGATAAACTATTTCCACACATCTGATCTTATTAAAGGCCTGGGATTTACAAACTTTAGGGATTTTGACCTTAAAAATGCAAGAAGCTCCTCTGGAGGCCAGAGCAGCTGATTGCACAAGGGCAAGAAGTGGAAAATAAAGAAGATGCTCCGAGCACAGGGCTGGGAGCAAAGGCATCTGTCACCCCAGTTCCCACTCAGGGTCACTGACCCCTCAAAGCTCCCCTCGGCCACTCACTTTTTTTTCCATCCCAGCCCCAGTGTGTCCTTGTCTGGTATCCTGTGTGTAAATGGGTGTACAGAGGGTCAGAGTGGAGCCACCTGACCCCGCAGCCACCTCTGAGGGATGGACACCAAGGTCAGGAACCCAGCGTGCCCAGTGCCCCCCTCCTCCTCTTCCCAGGCCCAGAGCATGAGGAGAACAGGGGGATTTCAGGGTGGCTTGACAGAGGCCCAGGGACAAGGGGGAATAATGGCTTTGAAAGGAAATAGGATAGATTTAAATTAGGTTTTAGGAAGATATTGTTCCCTGGGAGGGTGGGCAGGCCCTGGCACAGGTTGCCCAGAGAAGCTGTGGCTGCCCCATCCTTAGAAGTGTCCAAGGCCAGATTGGAGCACCCTGGGCTGGTGGAAGGTGTCCCTGCCCATGGCAGGGGGTGGGACTGGATGGGCTTTAAGGTCCCTTCCAACCCAAATCCTTCCACGATTCCATGATTAAGTTTGGTAGAAGATGGTTGGTTTCAAATGAGAACATTTGATGAGAGTCAAGAAAAATCATCCCTTGGGACTGTGCATCCAAGGGCTCCCTGAATTTGTGCCCATGTCCCTCAAAACACCTCAGTCCTTGAGCCCTGAGGCAGCTGAGATGCTCCCTGAGCCCACTTGGAGCTGCCCACAGTGCAGGACATCCCTCTGCCGTGGGAAGGCCACGATGGAGCAGGAGGAGTTTCTCAG